AACTTTTGATTAACGCCATTTGACTGGTGTTTTTAATTGCGGCCTCCAGCCACATGTAAGTTGGAAACCCCTGCTCTAGAGGGTTATGCATCGGCGAAATTATTTTATAATCACCCTGTACATATATTCCCCCCCCCCCAAATGAACTATCTTTATGTGAAATGTGTTTTTATGAAATGTGTAACAATATTTTTACCGAGTAAATAAATATATAATTAAGCTCCACCATTCCGCCTTAACTTTTAAGGGGAAAAAAATTCCTGTTACTAGATTCACAACTCCATTTGTAAGGACGATTTGTACACCTCATAGTTACATTCTAAAACGACAGAATAACAGTAATTTTGAAATAAGACGAATATTTTCTAAATAAGCACTCTAACTCTATTCTAAAATGACACGCCGTCCATTTTGTGGCGTTAGACCTTTTATTAAAGGCTCTGACAAATAGCCCGAGGCACAAGTTACGGGTCTCACATTTCAGAGCGCTTGTTTTAATAGCCCGAGTTATAAATATTCATTTTAACGAGGTTAGATAGTTTTCTACTATTCTGAGGGAAATAACTGCGTTTACTAATAACATGCATCGTTGAAGTGAAATACCATGGTGCATCATTGGAGCACGTGGCTTGCTGCGTTCGTAAAGTGCGCCCAACATGGCGGATATATCATTACTCGGCGATCAAGAACAGTCATTAGAAAAGTATGACATTTTTTAAATGACAAAATTGATCAGAATATGGAATTTGTTTTCTGTCCCCCCAACATATTTCTTATGCCGCTCGAATTTCAATAAGGTCGGAAAAAATTCTTTTTGTAGGACATTTTTGAGACATTTCATCTTTTTATGATAATTTGTGAGAGTTTGAGTCAATAATTTTTAGATGGTTTTTTTTTCCATCATCAAACCTTTTTGAATTGTTTTCAACATTGTTGTCAAAAGTATTTAAAAACGAAAGCTTCATTCTGAAATAGCCTTAATCTAAAATACACCCTATAATTTCTTAAAATAACTTTTTTTATTCCTTATTTTTTCGTTATAAAAATTTTCCAAATGACAATAGCTCAAACGTTTCATACGAAGACACCCGACAATAGCCAGGGTCGATCGCTGCATTGTTTTGAGCCTCAAACTGACGAACTTCTATCGAAATATATTGCCATGCAGTGTAACTCTCCATCATGTGTGAAAGAGGACAAAATTTAGAATATTCCCATGTCAAGATTCTTGATGGTTCCATCAAAAAATAGTTCGATGGTTAGTGTGATTCTTGATGGTCTACATCATTTGATAGTCACTCCTCATCCTACATTTTCCATTATGTGTTTATGGTTTATGACATGCCAACAAACTTCTATCATTCCGTGATGGAAAATGCCATTTTAATACTATTATGAGGACCATCAAGAAGAACCATCATGAGAAGTTTGACATACAAGGACCAACAATCCATGATGATCCGTGATGGTTCCAACTATACATTTCTATGATGGTTTAATGAGATTTCTTGCTGGTTCTCAGGAATGTACGATCAGAACAATTTGTTTTTTTTTTTATTTTGGACCATCATAAGTCAGTCCGAATTCCTACAATGGGATGGTGGTTGTTCATGATCATTCCAACATTTGATTTCTAAGATACTACGATGGAAATTCGTGCTGTTTCAACATGAACAAACCATCAATGCAAGTAGCTATTCTTATGTTGGACCAGTGTAAATCAGTCCGAATTCCTACATTGAGATGATGGTTACTTTTGTTGGTTTCCATCAAAAAATATAATGGCTCATGATAGATGGTTTATCTAGGGAAAACCATTAAAATTTTTGGCTTTGTTTTCCTCAATCCCTTCGAGAGTGATGACGGAGAAATGTAAAAAAAAAAAGATTTGAAAAAAGAAACTGCAAGTTTTACTTTTTACTGAAGCCTTTTACGACAACTTATGAGAAAGAAACTGAACTATCTGTATCTTAATAAAATAACCAAAAATATTGAATGTGTTTTTAATAATTACTCACACAAATGTAATTACCCAACTTGACTGTATCTTTCGAAACACATAAAATTTTAGCGATCGTCAAATCAAAATGGGAAAGAGTCTTATTTTAGCATTTTGATAAATTCTTTTGAGCGCATAATTATAAAAATAAAATTTTCCAATTTAATTTTTCAATTAAATTTCTCACAATGCTTGATCCAGGAGTTCTCTTGTCTTCTGGATTGGATTCAAAATTACAAGGTTACGGAGTTAAACATTAGTAGTTGTAAACCCGAAAAGTTGGGTCGACTGTTCAACGACTGTTATAAAAATAAAATAAAATAGGCACTTTAAGAGTCGTGGTGGCTCAAGTGATAGAGTGCACGCCTTCCAATGAGGTGAGCCGGACTGGAATCCCAGCGACACAGTACCCAGCTGGGGTCTACTACAGTGCTGACTTAAAATATCCTCAGTGGTAAACGGATCACGGGTTAGAGTACCCTAGCAGTCAGGCTAACCGTGGGAGGGTTTCGTAATTTTCCTTTCCCTGTAACACAAATGTGGGTTAGTTCTATCAAAAAGTCCTCCACGAAGGCAAATTTCTTCCAATACTTGATCCAGGAGTTCCCTTGTCTTCTGGACTGGGTTTAAAATTACAAGACTACGGAGTTGAACATTGGTAGTCGTAAACTCACACTTAGGACGGCTGTTCAACGACGGTTATAAAATTAGAAAAATGGGCATTTCAAGACAAAATTTTGATATTCACGCTTATTTATTCCTTTAATTTTTTCTTTTTAATTTTTTTTTCTTTTCACGTTAAATATTAATCAGCGTCTATATAGGTTTTCGTCGATTTCGTCGAAAATAAGACCAGAATTTATGAAATCTACAAACGGGAAGACATTTTCGGTCTAAAATCAACAAAAACTTTTTTTTTTGTATTTTTAAATTCATATCAAAATTAAATGCTATGGAACACTATAAAATTGAATGCAATAGAACCCTTTGTAAAATAGAGGGAAATGGAATGCTCTCAAAAATTAAATACAAAGAAATACTTTGCAAAATTTAATGCAATGAAATACTTTTATAAACGGATATCAGAGGAATAATCTGCAGAATTAAATGCAAAGTACTCTTAAAAACAGAAAACGAAAGAAAACTCTAAATAATTGAATGGAATGTATAACTTTTAAAAACGGGCTCCAAAGAAATTCTCTGTAAAATTGAACACTTTTTAAAAACGGACAGAGGAACACTCTGCAATAATTGTTGACTAAACGAGTTCAATAAAAAAAAAATATGAGAAATTTCTAGATTTTTTTTCTTTCTATGCTAAGCTGCCATGATCTAAACAAAGTTATCACCTGGCCCGTTGTTGGCCAACAGTTTCTATCGAATTCTCACGATTTGTTCTTTTTCGAGAATGTAATTTGTGTCTGAATCATATTCCCTCGATTCATCTCATAATTCCCTTGAAAAGAGGCGCGGAACACCCTCCGGTTATCCCCATTCCAAATTCACCGAAACGGAAGAAAATTATAGTCGTTTCCCAAACCAATATGAGCATTTGTGGCTTAACCTCCTCCATTTGACCTCCTAATGCAGCGGGCAGCTGGACTTGGCGTGAAAAATACGGAGCCAAATTATGTTAGATTAATAAAAATAATGAAAAAAATGGCTTCCAGTACTGTACTTATTGTTCTAAAGAATCGATATGGCTTCTTGTCAGTGTCTTTTCCAAGATTTGAATATTTATGAAAAAACCCTGAGGTTTCGTGATATGAAAGACACTTTTTTCTTTCGGGACAGCAGAAGCTATAGCCTATAATGACATAGCTGCTGTGGAAGCGAAGAAACATGAATATATTAATAATTATGCTCGACTTGAGAATATTCTTATGCGTTGTGAAACAACAGTTAAACGTTATCTTCGGCATTTTATAATAAAAGAGCGTAGTATTTCTTTTGATATTATCCAACCTTCGCGCTTATATATAATTTTAAGATCCATTTTAATATTTCTAAGTATAAATAAAGGTGGAGGAAAAACGCTTTATTCAGCACGTAAATTTGTTGAGATATAGGCTTTTTTATATTATTTCTGAGATTAATGGGAGAAAAAAAAACCTTTTTCGTTGTTCTTATAGTTGATTAATAAAAAGATATGTGACAAAAAGAAAAAAAAACGTCTTAGAATTGAATCTTCTGCGCAGTTCATTTACTACAAAACAATCTCGGGTTCTCAACAGAGTTTGCGCTGAACTTACATTTGATAGCGTGCAAGATGCTCTAAGTGTTAAATCTCTGTATTCTAACCGTCTCTTTACTGTTCTGATCTACGACTGTAAATTTTGAAAGGATATTCTTTTGCTCTATCGAAACGAATAGTTTTGCTTCCTCTCTATGGTCCCACTTACAATATGATTCCATTACGAGTCTATGGTCTCGTTTGCATAGTGAGATAACAATCGAATACAATTTTAATTTTTTATAGAATAATCCTTCCTGTGCACAATCAATCATTTGCTCCATGGAAAGATCGAAATGAAACTTTCTTCGAACTTGGAATATAGTTGTATAACCTGCAAGATAATTTCAGGTCATACTCCATTTTACATGAGTCCAAATGATCAATGTGTGCAACCTTGGCTGCCTGGTACATAACATAATGATAAAGCCAGTTCCACATCTACATTCAATAAATAGCATGTTATATCAATGTTTGTCACAGCAGTGCGTTCCTTCTATGGCGTTTTCGTGAACTCAGTCAGTCACAAGTTGGTATTGGTCACAAGTCATATAAACCAGTCACAAGTTATATAAACCTTGTCACAATTTATATAAACCAGTCACAAGTTATATAAACTAGTCACAAGTTATATAAACCTTGTCGTTTACAAGTTGGCATTAGTAATACATAAACCTTGCAGTCCAAAATTTGTAAAAAAGTTTTAAATATTTAATGTTTTCTAAGTATTGTAATAAAAAAATATATTTAAAGTGATTTATTTTTCAGATGACAAATTAGATATGAAGATGCAAGAAATGAAACCTTTCTGCAAAGCAACCACAGCTGAAGGATCGCTTCAAGCACCCCCTGAACCACACTTCAACAAGAAACTCCTGGTTGCTGGAGCCCAGTTCCTACCCGGCCTGGTGATGCACCCATCGGCCATCCACTCTTTTCCTCAACCCGTATTCTCCAGGACTCATTTACCTCTGTCACCATTGCCGATGGCCGGATGCGTTCAGCAGCTCGGCACCTACCACCCCTTTGTGATTTCAGAAGCCCATTCTTGCAAATCAGCACCTGCCGACTTCAATCCGGACACTATGTCCCCAAAATCAACCAGGCTAGCGAGACCTCAAGACAAACTAGCCAGTTCCCAATCTACATCGGGTTCCACGTCCTCCAGAAAAACGAAATTCGACTTTTCGAAATTGGCTGAATCTGCCACCAGCAAGGATGACCCACCTCCCGCCCACAGCAACAGTGGCGGAGCAGAAGTTAAACGAAGCCAAATGGACAGTCCGACTACTGCTGCCTCGAAGGCTTCAGTAGCACTCATCACCAGTCATACCTATCCTTTCATATCTTCCTATTATACTCTAGGTGCCATGGGCCTGGCGACGGACTATTTCGAACGAAAGCTGGCCCGGGGCAGAGGATCTTCGAGACCTAAAAAGGAGTTTATTTGCAAGTATTGCCAAAGGAGATTTACTAAGTCTTATAATTTATTGATCCACGAGAGGACGCATACAGATGAGAGACCATACACCTGTGACATTTGCCACAAGGCGTTTCGACGGCAAGATCATCTTAGAGATCACAGGTAGGGACTTTGAAGCATAAAACAATGGTTCTTAATTTTATTCTTCAGCTATGGAAACTTAAAAGATCGAGCTTCTTTGGCAAACGTCGGCTTTATTAAGTTCATTAGCAGCTGTAAATTTTACTATCCAACCAAATACTATATAGAAAAAAAAAATTAAAATCAATTCTCTCTATATAAATATATATATAGAGAGAGTGAACTAATAGTAGAAATTGGAAGAAAAAAAAGGCGCAAGGTATCAGGCAACTAGACTAGACTCAACGCGACTAGAAACTTCATTTATAGTAATTGAAAATTAATATTTAAATGTAAATAGTACACGCTTAAGTTTGATAAGTCTATTCTTTCTCATGCTTATGCCAGCTCACTCACTTGATGCATTTCAGTTTTCAGTTCCTTACTGCCAACGCGAAATATATCCTCTCGGTTCGGTGGCAATACACACACGCGCATTAGTGATTGGAAATAATATAACAAATGACACTGTGGAAAGGCGATAAATATACAGACAATACAGATGAATATTGGCTTTAACGATCTCACTGTATACATTAAGAATAAAAATATAAAAATAAAAGTACACCACTCAGTCAAGGTAAATAAAGATCATTCAGGTTTAAGAACATTGGCAATGCAAGTATTATGTTACTGTGAATGACCGAAATTGGTGGTTCTTGACTTCCACCGGTTAATGTTGACAATCACATAGTCGCTTTGGTAAAAGTCCGAAATATATACTAGGTCTAGTTAAGTGCCATTGCCCGGTATACCCTACACTGATGTTTTTTTAGGGTTCAGTGCCACTGCCCGCTATACATTTGCCAGTTACTCCGAACATTGATGTTTCTCTTAATCTATCCTCAGCAGATATTAAAATATCGAATAAATATATAATAATATCAGCGAATAAATTAATATCAAATCTGATATAACAAATATTTCGGACATTCACCAAAGCGACTATGTGATTGTTGACATTCACCGGTGAAAGTGGACATTCTATTGATTCTTTCAAGGTTCAATGCCACTGTCCGGTATGCATTTGTCCGGTACTCCGAACACTGATGTATCTCCTAATCTATCCTCAGCAGATATTAAAATATCGAATAAATATATTATAATATCATCGAATAAATTAATATCAAATCGGATATAGCAATTCGCTCATGGGCTGCAATAGCGGCACAACTCAAAAAATCAAGTTTTGAGATAAGTGGATTAAAGTTTTCATTGCTAAGGAAAATGCATGAGAAATGCTTTAGTTTGCTTAAACGAAGATTACCTTCAAGTTGAATTATGAGTTGTGCTAGTATTATTGCTGAAAGAATGTGTACTATTTTCATATTTACACCTGTTTCTGGTCCAAAACGGGTGTTTTTTTTAGTTGTGTCACTATTGCAGCCCATGAGCGAAATATTTCGGACATTCACCTAAAAATTATTGACTCTCACAGGTGAAAGTCGATATTCTCTTGATTTTATTGTAGAATATCTAATTGTAAATCCTTGTTGATTTCCAGGTACATTCACTCGAAGGAGAAACCCTTCAAGTGCACGGAGTGTGGCAAAGGTTTCTGTCAGTCCAGGACGCTGGCAGTGCACAGGATCCTGCACATGGAGGACTCCCCCCACAAGTGTCCCACATGTGGACGCACATTCAACCAGAGGAGCAACCTCAAGACCCACCTCCTCACACACACAGACATCAAACCCTACAACTGTGACTCCTGCGGAAAAGTCTTCAGGAGGAACTGCGACCTCAGGAGGCACACGCTGACCCACACTTTGGGGCTGCCTGAAGCCCCATGCGAAGAGGGGCACGGGTCCCCATCCAGTAGCTGTGATCGTTATTATCCGGGTGAAGGCGACAACGATGATAGTCACTCCCAAGAAATCGTTGACGTCGAAAATTAAAAAACTATTTATTTTTGTTAATAAAACCTGCTTTAGTATTCTTGGTTTGAAGACAAAATATCGTGCCAGCATCATGTGCACAAAATTATTTAACTTGCTTTTTACATGCAAGAAACTTGCACATAAATTATCAGTAGACATTACAAGGTGGAGATTAGACTGTTTTCAAAAACTGGGAGAATAATAATTATTTTATTTTTTTAAATAATAAAAATTCTTTCGGAAAAATCATTTTAAAACGACATACATTTTTCCTTCAAAAGTTTTTGGCTTCAGGTCAAAAAATTAAGAACAAATAGCTTTACAGATAGTAAACGTGGAAATCAAAGAAAAATAATTGAAAATCCCAATTTTTAAAAATCTCTTAATAACTGAAAATCACATAAAAATATTTTGGAAATATCAATCATGTTTCGAAATGAGGTATGTTGGGTTATTACTTTTAATTGTTTTTCTTTGATTTATTCTCCCTAATTCCATTAATCGATGACACTTTTAAATCCATCGATAAACATTAATCCATCGATAAAACATTAATAAATTCTAAGAGGAACACGTCCCACAAATTTGCAGGAAGAATTATAATTGATAATACCGTTTTCATAAAACGAATTTTTGAAAACCAACAGTTTAATTTATGTCAAGCTGTGTATTTATAGAACATAACGTAGTGTCACTATATAGTTAACCCCATGCAATATAAATACTATATAAGGTTATATCAAAGAGTTCGTTCCTAATTGTGTTATTTTCTGGTACGAAGAAGATAAAAGTTTACACTGTCAGAAATGTTAGATCATGTTGAGCATTGTTGTCCAAGCATATATTTGAACAAAAAAGTCTTAAAAGAAAACATGATCAAAACCTACAGTTTTAATGTAAAAATAAATTATTTTCAAAATTAAGTCTCAAATAGTTTCGAGCAAATTTCTTAAATAAATACCGAAAATTCAAAACAATTTCAAATAACTTTAAAACCCGCTGTCGGCCAAAAATGCTGTAAAAAAATAAATAAAAACGGGTCCTCCTTATAATTTTTTTTTTTTGAACGGTTGGATGGATTTTCATTCTCTAAAGTGTTTTGGTAACATCTTAAGGAATCTTTTAAAATAAATATATATGCATATATATATTATTTCATTACAGTCGTTGAACAGTCGACCCAATTTTTGGGTTTACGTCAACTAATGTTCAACTCCGTAGTCTTGTAATTTTGAACCCAATACAGAAGACGAACTTCTGGATCAAGTATTGGGAGAAATATACCTTCATGGAGGACTTCTTGATGAAACTAACCCACATTTGCGTTACATGGAGAGGAAAATAGCGAAAACCATTGAGGATATTTAACGTCAGCACTGTTGTCGGTGCATGCCGAGTGTGAAATTCATATCGACCAGCCATCGCTGTGATTCGAACCCGGTTCACCTCAATGGATAGGCGAGCGCAATATCCCATGAGCCACCTCGACTCTGTTTTGAGATATCGTAGTAACTCTTTATAATATGAAAATCCGTCCAAAAGTTTAAAAAAGTGGCCGTTTTTTTTATTCGTTTATTTTGCTGATTTTACATAGGGGCTATATGCAGAAACTATTTTGAAAAAAAACGGTATCCGCATTTTAAATCTAAGCTTCCTGTCTCACTTAAGGGTTGTAGGATAACAATATAATTTTCAGTAAAAACATGTTATTGATACTCTTTTTTTTTTGTAAGAACGGGAAATAATGAGTACAATAGAATAAAATTAAAAAACGAATATTGATGAGTAATTTTTGATCAAATGACTTTCGTTTCACGAACTAAAAAAGTATTTTTATTGTCTGAGATATCCCCATTAAGATATTTTAGCTTAAAAATTTATACACAAAAGCATCCTTTATCAAAATAAGCGTAACGCATTCGTGTGTAAGGGAAAGCATCTAATTAGTTTAGTTTAGTCTGAAAAAGAGGTTAAAAGCATGACCCCTTTCATGTAAAATGTCCACAAGTCACTGCGCAGAAATAAAACCTTCTTAAACAAAATTATTTTGAATTCAAAGGCAATGTGACATTTTAAAATGCGCAATTATTTGTTTCAAAAAGTAATGTAACAACTTAAACAACTCAAAATTACTTATTATTTTAAATGAAAACTGTAATTTTTAATGTTTTTTTCTCTTTCTGTGAAATTGTTAATTTACTTTTATCTTTCGCGTTTTAAATGACTGCAAAATTTTTTTTAATAACGATAGCTTAACATTTTTCTTTTGCTAATAGAATTAAATCGGAAAATAATCGAAATTCTTAAGGAATTATTCGTTGATCATTAATGTATTTGGCTTGATAAAATTTAAAATTATATGCCTAAATGCCAGAGCCCTCAACGGAAGAAGTTAAAATGTTCAGGCTTGAATTTGATTTTATAATTTAATTATTGTTTACAAGACTGTATTCAAGAAGAGAGAAGACCGGGCGATTCCTTACAAAAAGAGTAGGATTTTTTTTGCGGAGAATTTATTTACATATTATTATCCATTCATAACAAAAAATAAGCACTTATTAAAATAAGTGGTATTATCTGGCCATCCGGAGATAAAGGTTGAAAAACTCGCTCGTTTTGCGAAGAAATTGAAGTGGCGAATATTAACTAAAACCTACCCCCCAAGCTTAAATGAGTTTTTTGTTCAAAGCGACCGCTAAATCAAAACCTGATTTTTATCTAAAAATAAATGTACATATTACTATAGCAACCGGTGTTCACCTCGTGATAAACACGGTAATTAATAATTTACAAACAAAATATTTGAGAGACATGTTTGATATTAACTACTATAAATATATTATCCAAAATTTATTATGCCATTAAGGCGAATGACAAAAAATAAACAAATACAATCAAATTGAAAAAATTGCGATAGCCGAAAGGCAGTCACATTTTACCCATTGGCAAGTTGTCTAATTTTTTTTCTCCCGCCTACGTTTTTCGGCTTTAGCTTTTTCAGCCTCGGTAAGTTTAGGAATTGGCATCGTTTTTTTCTTCTTTCTTGCTTTAACTCTAACCTTTGGGACCGTGTCAATCAGTTTGGGACCCTCTTTATGTGTGACATTCACCTGAATTAGTATTGAAAACGATACAGTTTGAACTGTAGGCTAAAATTTCTGATCCTTAATTAAAACAATAAAAACAAAAATATCGTTGAAATGATGAAATTCTCTTTTATTCACAACTCAAGAAGTATTTATGGGATCTCTCTGGTCCCATATCTCAAAAATAAACTCATCAACTCAATGCATAACAAAATTAAAAGTGAAAAAAAGAATTCTAAAAAATAAAAAAAATTCTAACAGCAGCGGTCGGTATAGCAACGCATGCGCACTGCTTAATGTTACTCTTGAACACAGTTGAAAAGTGTGATGACATCCAAATAGGTGCGCACGTCATCAAACCCCAAACAACACCCATTTTTGCCAATGGGTAATAAATAAAATGTGCATTCATTCGGACGATATTTAAGGAAAACCAATATTTTAATATATTATCCTATTTAATTAGAATATTTTATGAGATTATTATATTCTTTAATTCACAATATATGAAAAAATTATGTATTTCAATGATTTTATATATTATAATTACGGAAAGAATGATATAACAAAGAGATCTTTTATTACGGGATTGATTTTTTAAAACCTTTTTATAGCATTAATCTGTCTAGAATTTAACCAATCATGACTAAGTAATAATTGCTTGAACAAATATTTTCAATATTGTGTAATCTAAAATCTTTTTTTGAACAACTTAAAATTTAGTTTTATTTTAAAATATTAATATACACCACTAACTTAACTAATTAAACAATAACTTAGAAAATGCTTTTTTCAAAACCTTACAAAAAATGAAAACACAAATTTTAATTATGGGAGGAAAGTATTAAAATGTTTCTTAATTTTTGTTCTGTGACTTGTAAATCTTGTGTCCGACCTTAACGACTCAGCTCTAGTTACGGAATAAATTTCAGAACGAGAAATTAATTTACAAAACCGAAACTGTCATTCAGCCCTATTTCATTTTGTCGACTGTGCATTACAATAACGTAGTAAAAAATGTCTGAAGTATTTAATTTTTTTTTCTTTTTTTGAAATTTTAAATTTTTTTTTTCAAATACAAGTGTCATTTTTTTTTCTTCCTTTGTCGTCGTCTTTGTATAGTTGATTTGGAATTAGAGATGTTATTTAAATCTGTAAATAAAAATTATTTTTTCCTCTCTTCAATTCATTGTACTGAAATGTTTGAGAATTGTAATTGTGTCATTTAAAAATTTGAATTCCTAAATGTAATAAAATTAATTAAACTAAAAAAAATGCCTGGTTATTTTCATCAGCACAAAACATTGAGATTGTTTACAAAAAATGTTTAATTAACATCCTGACCGAGTCCAGAGTTCAGTTATTCAGTTAATCAGTATTGTGTAACCACCGCTCTTCAGAGACCTCTCTCCTGTAGACCGAATAGAACTATCGAAAGGGTAGAGACGAAAGAAGAAAAAGAAATCAAAATTATTCTCTACTTTTCTCTTCACGCAGGCTGGACAATTACCTCTCTATTTTGCAGTACCTTTCTATGCTGATGCTATCACAATACCCTCTGTTTTCAACCTTTTGGCATTCGCCTAAATTTTTAATATCATTTTTGTGACTGTGCCTAGCACCTAGACTGTGACCGTGAGCCTTCCTAAGCCAGTTGCCCGGATGGACGCTCATATTTGATTTCTGTAGCTGTAGGAACAAGGAGAGCTCAATCTTCAAGATTTAATTTCCTTCTCTGCATGCTCAGGAGATAAAAGTTAATTCTCTAATATTTGATTATTTATGTGTAACTAAATCTTGCATTTATGCAGGTTCAGTAATTCGAATATATTAACCACTTTTCATACATTATTTTCGAGGTAACGCCAGAGCATGCAGAGAAGGAGACACGTGTTCCCTTCGAAATTCAGGATTTGATTTATAGGTTCCAGTGCCTCTTGTGATGTGAAGAGATGTTAAAATAAAGAGAATGGATTCAGAATACGTTCTCCTCTTTTTGTTTCGTTCTATATTTTTGATCAATGAATTTGGGATCAGCCGCAATGGCCCAGGGGATAGAGCGTTCGCCTTCCAATGAGGTGAACCGAGTTCGAATCTCAGCGATGACTGGTTGATACGAATTCCGCCTCGGGCTTGCACCGATTACACTGCTGACGTGAAATATCTTCAGTGGTAGACGGTTCATGGGTTAGAGTCCCCTTGCCTTTAGGCTAACCGTGGAAGGTTCTCGTGATCTTCCTCACCATGCAGCGCAAATGCCGGTTAGTTCCATTAAAAAGTCCTCCACGAAGGCAAATTTGTCCCTATACTTGATTCCCTTGTCTTCTGGATTGGGTTCAAAATTACAAGGCTACGACTTTGAACATTAGTAGTCGTAAAACCAAAAATTAGGTCCGCTGTTCAACGATGGTTATAAAATACAAAATAAAAATGAATTTGGGTTGTACTCCATTGCCTAAAGCAGTCATACGTCACTTTCTATGCAAGCAAAATACAAAACCGTCATTATGCAATGCGATTTTGAGATTGCCGCATGCTTCTTTCAATTTCATATAACAGAATTGGAACAATACAGTTCTGCAATCATTAGTTTTTGAGGGGCTGTTAAATAGCGAAATTCATTTATGAGTTAACTCACGAAGCAAGAATTAAAAACAATAATTTCATTACATGCATTGATGAGACAAGATTGGACTATAACAAAATACGACCTAACAGAATGCTTGATACAAACTACAACTATCTGTCAATGAGCGCAAAAGGAAGCACATTTCAAACTAAAGTACTAAAAAAGAGTTATATAGGCATCAGAATGGATAAATAACTCAAATATTTTAAAAGTTGGACTT